TGAGAAATTCAATTAGAGAGGAAGTGGGAAATGCTAAGTTTTGGATTATTATTGATGAAGCTCAAGATGAGTCTAAAAAAGAGCAAATGGCTATTATTTTGAGATTTGTTGATGGTGATGGTTTTGTTCAAGAACATTTTTTTGATCTTCTACATGTTAGTGATATGAGTGTAATGACTTTGAAGAAAGAGTCAGTGTCTGTTCATTCTCGTTATAATCTTCAAGTTGAAAGTATTCGAGGTCAAGGATATGACGGTGCTAGTAACATGCGTGGTGAATGGAACGGTTTACAAGCTTTGGTACTTAACGATTGTCCATACGCATATTATGTGCATTGTTATGCTCATAGATTACAATTAGCATTGGTTGCAGCATCTAGGAAAGTAGTTCATATTCATGATTTTTTTACATATTTGACTTCTATTGTAAATATTGTTAGTGCTTCTTCCAAAAGACATGACCAATTACAAGCTACTCAACTAATTGACATTGCAAACATGATTGCTGGTGATGAACTTGAAACAGGTAAAGGAGCAAATCAAGTGGCAACTCTACAAAAAGCCAAAGATACTCGATGGAGCTCACACTTTCATTCTATTTGTAGCTTGATGAGAATGTTTGATGCAACCTGTACTGTTGTGGAAAGTATTATCGACGAAAGGGCCAGTTATTCACAAAGAGGTGATGCTTCTGTTGCTAATAAAATATTATCATCATTTGAATTTATTTTTATTTTACACTTGATGCATGAGTTCATGAAAATCACTAATGTTCTTTGCCAAGCATTACAATTACGCTCTCAAGATATTTTAAATGCAATTCATATTGCTTTTACTACAAAATCACTCCTTTAAAAGTTGAGAGATGATGGGTGATCTAATTTACTTGAGAATGTGAAAAAATTTTGTCAAAAACATGAGATAGAAATTCCTGACATGGGTGCACAATATATCTTGGGTAGAGGTCGATCTCGTCAACCAGATGTAATTGTGGAGCATCATTATCGAGTTGATATATTATAGTGACGATAGATTTCAAGAATTGAATTTAAAATTCAGTGAGCAAGCTGTAGAACTTTTAACTTTAAGCACTGCTTTGGATCCTAATAATAATTACAAATCATTCAATATTGATAATATTTGCAAGTTAGCAAGAGAGTTTTTATTCTTAGGATTTCACAAAACGAGCTCGATATACCTCATCATCAAAGTTTTGAAGATATGAAGACACTTTTTGAATTGTGTGAGAGATTAATAGAAATAAAAAGTCAAAGAATTACCACTTGATTGATAGATTAATTCATCTTATTTTGACTCTTTCGATTTCTACAACAACTACAGAAAGAGCCTTTTTAGTAATAAAAATTGTAAAAATAAGACTTCAGAACAAAATGGATGATGAGTTTTTTACAGATAATTTAGTCGTTTATATTGAGAAAGACATTGCTAGTCTTTTCAGCACAGAGTCAATAATTGATGAATTTGAATCTAGAAAATATAACAACTTTCTTAAATAACTATTATAAGTCTTTTTTTTTATTTTTTTTGTTTAGATGTTATATAAAATTATTATCTATTATGAATTTTTTGATTGTTGGTTAAATTCAACATATTAGTTTTAAAAATTTTTAACTTTTATTTTTTTTGTCTTTAGTCCCTTAATAAAAATTGATTAACTCTGTTCCTGATAACTCCATACATATGTTGGAAATCATACCACCTCGAGACATAAGCTATTGGTGCAACTGCCAAAGTTGCCACGGCTTGCCTGTTAACTACAAGGACTCGAGGACTTATTCCTTGCAACAAAGCAGCCCTTGTGGCGAGGTGCAACGCCTGCATAACAGATCTGTAATCCAACCATAGCCATTCCGGGCTTGTAATCTTCGCACCCACCCATATCTCTATTGCTCTTGACAGCGATTTTGTTCTCTCTAATAACGATAACAGATGTGAGAAGGAGAGAATAAGGCCAGCAAAACTCAAAAAAGGTTGTTCAAGTGTAGGCAAAAGTTGTGATGATCCTAGCCATAAAAGGGCAGTAAAATAATTATGAATTTATCAAATATTAATTTATAGAAATTTTATTGTAATAACTCAAAGTAAAAAATTTAATTCAGAGTGGTGGGAAATGGGAATATTTTTAATAATGCAAACGAGAATATTTTGCTAGGTGCGAACGTGGTGATTAAGCTAGTAATTGAAACAACAGAAATCAAGGTGCGGAAGATGCGAGTACCAGCTGAGTTGGGAACAGAGATTTGTCGCTTCAAGCTGAGCTAGTAACTGTTTTTCCTAGATGAGCCAGGGTCCACCCCCAGATTAATGACCTGTCACTGCCAACAGAGACCACATCCAAATCCACGTTTCAACTTCGTCAGTTTTGCCAAGCGGCAATAAATTATCTGCTGTCGCCACATGCAAACACTGTCATTAAGCCTGCCTGTTCTCTTTTCTTCAGGTTTCGATAACCAACCCAAGCCCAAATCTTAAAGACCTAATATTATATTATTATTATTATTTTTATTGTACCCAACTAAATTATCAGAACATGAAAAGGTAGCTTTCAACACAACTGCTTAAGAGCATGTAGGTGACGCCCGAGTGGGATCCTTTATGGTCGGCAAATTTATTTATTAATTATTATTTTGTTAAAAATATTTACGACACCTTTGGTTCAAAGAATGAAAAAAAATGTAATAATTATCTTGTAAAATAGCCTAACAGAATAGGAATGTAATAATTATTTTGTGGAATAAATCGCTTGTTTTAAAGGATGACTTATCTAGAGCGCGCGTTGAGATTGGCAGTGAAGACAGAGCTCTGCGCAATTTATGAAAGGATGACCAATAGACCTATCAAAATGGATCTAATTTATTGGTTTGGTTTATTTTTTTATTAAAAATGAGATAAGTTAAATTTAAAAATTTAAATTCATATTAAAATAGGATCTAAATAGGTTAACTCATTTGATTAGTGGGTTAAGATGGGTTACGACGGGCCAGTCTTGTGACCCAAAAGAAAAAAAATTAATAATTTTATATATTTAACTATATAAAATTAATAATTTAGTTATCAATTGTAATACTTATTTCATATATTTTAATATCTTTAATCTTTTACTTTTCAAATTAATAATTTTAGTTTAAATTAAAATTTATTATCTCTTTTTTTTATAACAATTAATATTAGATGATAAATTGATAATCATTTAGACCTTGAGATATCATTACTATTTAAATAAAATTTAAATGTTTTACTTGAGGATGAGGATTAAAGAGGATATAAATGAGTTTTGAAGTTTCTATTATTTGGTTATATTTATGTTTATGGGATGGTAGTTTGTGCTAAAGATTTAAACTTTATTTATGTAATTTATTTGTTTATTTATATTTTGTGTAATTTATTTTTGTAACATGTTTTTATTATTCAATTTATGGATTAAATCATATATAGAACATTATAAAAATGATTATTTTTAAAAAAAATGAGTTGGCTAAACTTTAGACTAACAAAATGTGAGTTGAACTAGAGTTTTGATGATCATATAAAAAATGGGCTGACCTGATCCAACTCATATTTTCTCAACCTACAAGGGCTTGGGCCAGACCAGCCCATATTGATACCTCTAGTTACCGGGGCCAGCCCTTGGGTGAAGCCACCCAATCAAGGGCTTTAGACCCTCAATTTGGGAAGGCTCCAAATTTAAGGAGGATTTATAATTTTATAATAATTATAATATATAAAAATTAAAAACTATAAAAGTAAAAAATAGTTAATAAAATTATTTATTCTCTCACTTTTCTAATTATATGTTTAATAAATCTCAATTTTTTATCACTTCTTTATTTCTAGAATGCTATTAGTTTTCGACTATATTCTCTTATCTTCAATCAACTAACAGTTATATATATTTAATCATCTCCAATAACTATTTTTTCTCACTTGTTTCTCTTATTTTCAATTAACGTGTTTAATGATTTCCAACAGTAATTTTTTTTCTATATATAAAACCAATTATTTTTTTAATGTAAAATATCTACTTTTAAATTATTTTTTTTCTCATTTGCCCTTTCTTCATTTAATTTTAAATTTTCTTCAAAGAATACACAAGAAGTCTATTCTATTATTATCTTCATAAAGCCGTGAGCCTCATTTGTGATTTGCAATAAGCATTCAACAATTAGGTACTATTGTTATAATTTTTATAGATTTTTTTTATTTTAATTTAGAGTTTATATTATATTATTATATTGTATTTTATTTTATATAATAGTTGATGTATTCCAGTAAGTGTTGCTTCAAGAGAAAGAAGTTTTTCAAAACTAAAATTAATAAAATCTTATTTAGGATCAATAATGTCTCAAGAAAGATTAAATGGCTTGACTATATTATCAATTGGAAAAGAAATATTAGAAGAACTTGATTATAAAAGTTTAATTAAAACTTTTATATTTCAAAAAGCTAGAAGAATAAAATTTTAATAATTTTTTTAATTTTAATAAAAAAATTTTATTTAAATATTTCCCTTTAAGCTTTTGAACTTATTAAGTTACCCCTAGGGGTGAGAGCTGAATATCGGGGAAACTAAGCTTGAGAAAATTGAGGAGAGAAGGGTTCAGGGACTATGGAGAGATGATAAATTTCAAATGGGAAGTGAGAGTTTCTTTTATGGGGTATGGTGATTATGCACTTGTCTCTTTTAGCTAATAGTTTTTAAACTTCCTCCTATTTGTGAAGGTGGGAAGTTCAGTTTAATTTCTGTTTTGTGCCTACTGGATATTGAGCTAAAATGTTGTAAGGTGTACTGCTGATTTTAGGTTTCACCATCCTCGTGAGATGTGTAAGTTGTAATGGTTTGATTATTAATATAAATGATTTATTGTTTGAGAAAGAAAATATAGAAGGGTGAAAAAATAAAATAAAATAGTTATCATATAATATCTATTTTTTTGAATTATTTAGAAAATTTAAATAATTTCTTTTTTTTTCAGTACATTAAATCAAGATTTTGTATTTTTATTTTGAATCAAATAAATTTTTATTACTTATAGTTAATTAACTATATTTAGTCAAAATGTTTCTTGTTATTCTATGTTATATGACATTGATGTAGTATACTGATATCGTATAATGGATAATAATGTGACATAGTTTTGTTTATATTGTCTATATCTAGGTGGCATTCTTTTGTAAATGGTGGATATTGTACAGAGGCTATACTTCTACTTAATTTTTGTTCAAGCTTAGGGATTTATATTCTATTTTTTGGATACTCTAATGGGTTTTGTTGAATCACTAGGTCTTTTTGTTAACTTGGGTTTTTTTGATTGAATGTACTTGGATTACTCAAATGAAATGGGAATATTTTCTAGTAAAATGAGAATATTTATTAGTGTTTCAAAAAAAAGTCAGGTAATTAGTTTGTATTTTTTAAATGGAAAGTTAATGGTTTTTAATTATTAAAAAAACCTTCTTGTGTGTAAAAAGCACATTTTGAGTACAAACATAATGCTAAACAAAACTAGTAAAAGTACTCAATTTAGTCCCCATATATAGATTTTTGTTCAATTTAGTTTATATACTCTGTAATTTTATTTAATTTAATTTTTATATTTTATGATTTAATGCAATTTAATCTTCATGACATGATACCAAAAACCGATGTAAAAAAAAATTTCAAAAATATTTTTGGGCATGCCACGTCATTGTTACTATGTCAGTATGTCAATACCACGTCATAGAGAGACATATCAACACCAGTAATAGTCAATTTGAATCACATTAGAAGGAGGGACTCGATTGCACAAAATCTTAAAATATAAAGACTAAATTGATCAATTTTGAAATAAAGGGATTAAATTGAAAACTGCGTAGTATAAAGACCTATGAAATACTTTGACCATTTTAAGCATATATATATATATATATATATATATATATGATCTTCTAAAATTGTATTATATATATTCATTTTGAAAAAAAAGTATTTATTTAGCTTCATCGAACAACAACAGAGCCATTAAATGGACCAATGTCGAAAATAACAAAGAGAAATATATACATGATAATGTAATGCATAAGTCCTTATTGAAAACAAGGAGAGATGATTCATCTGAAAAAGTTTCGACAGTTCAAGGTTAGATGAAACAATAATTGACCGGGGAAGGAGTGTTGCGTCATAATTTCTACACCTTCCACATGCAAAATTTTTAAGGAATATCAAAGTTAGAACTGATAGATTTTGGCATGAATGCAACGGAGAAACAAAGATTACTATGATCGATTACCAACTATCAAGTACCATTGTATACATGGACACACCCAAATTCGTACTGATCATCACCCCTAGGCCTAGCAGTATGCATCGACATCAAAGCATACAACGACTTCGACCATCCTCCAACATGATGGCACCCTTCCAGCCACATGTTGTTATAACTTTAATTTCTTCTCCTAACTTATTTTTTCGGTTGGAAGTTAGGATGATTTGAGCATGCGGAGGTGTGGAGGGTTGGAGGCTGTCTACCATAATAATTTTCCCGTTTAGGTGTGATGCCAACCCTTGATTTTTATACAGGATTCAATTTGTCAATCGCAATAAGATTGTTGATGGGTAGGGTACTCATAATTTTGAGTACCATAATCGGAATCTAATTAATAAGTATGGTATTTAAACCCTACAATTACTTTATTATTTTTGAAATTTCTTATCCATATCTGAACTCTAATTCCTTACTCACTATCCGTCAACTCTTGAACCCATTTAAATATATGATTGTGCAAAAAAAATTTATTAGTCTCCTCATGGGTATCCAATTATTCAAACTAATATAAAATAAGAATTATATTTCACAATTCATATCTATATAATTCACTTATAATTAAATTTATAAAAACAGATAAATATTAAGATTAAAATTAAAATATTTAATTATTTTAAAAATATCTCAACTAATAACTTAAATAATCAAAAATAAATAAATAAATATTCATAATAAATATAAATAATTGAGTTCAGATATTGGGTATCCAAGGAGTGATACCCATACCCTAATTGAATCCGAAACGAATACTAAACTTGCTATCCAAATCCGTTTCATACCCGAATATAAGATTTCCATTACTGTCTTTAAATTGCAACTTTTAAACAATAGGTAAAAACTTATATATTATTAAATTTAGAAAAATTTGAATTATGAATCATCATCAGTAAATGTTATAACCGTCTCAGATCGAATAATATCATCGTTGTAAAAAACTTCTTAGATCATATAATCTGTTCCACATACAAACAATGCCACATTAATATAATTTTTAAATTTGAGTTGGAAGATGTTTCATATGTGATCGTTAATTTTGGACAAATTTTCTTTAAAAAAATAAAATTGAGTTAGAAAAAGCCTGAAATTATGACATTGTTAAATACAAGTGGGATAGATAAAGCTCCTCCTGGTGTTGAGCGGTTACCCGTTAGGGAGAAAGCAATTAAAGCTTGTGCTGGGGTTGTTGTGTCTATACTCTTTCCCACGCAACGTACATGCATCTTGTCCCGCCGCCCAATGTTTCATTTCGGTAATTTCCGTTTCCTTATATAACAAAGATTTAAGGCGTCATTTTGATTCGTCGAGTTTCAAAAATAATTTTGGAAATTTGACAGTAATTTAAAAGCATTAATTCATTTGATAATTTTAACTGTTATTTCACTAAACTAAAATCGAGCAACTGTGACAAAAAATTTTTTGTTACTATTTTTCTGTCATAAATAATGATTTATAGTGACAGAATTGTGACGGTTTTGTAACAGAATTAATGACAATTTATCTTTAAGAGTTTATGATAGATTTAGTGATAGATTTGTGACAGAATTATAAAGGTTTTTAAAATCTGTCAATACATCTGTTACAATTAATTGGGGATTGAAAATTTTATCTTGGTGTCAAAAATTAGTACCAAAATCCTGTGACGGAAACTGTTACAATATTAGGATTCTTTGTTTGGTGACAAAATTAGTGATGGAATTGTGACAAAAATTTATTTCGAGTAGCTCGAATAAATAACATGTGATCAATTTAAGTATAGTTATGGATTATTGTGATAGAATAATCTATCACAAGTATTATTTTAATTTAATATTATATTTTTGTAACAAAAATAGTGACAGATTTGTGACAAATAATTTTGAGAGAAAAAGAGGCACTCTGCTAAATTAGAAAAAATTGATTGCCACAAATTTGTGACTGAAAATCTGTCACAAAGGCTATTTTCTATAATATTTCTATAATTTTTATTTAAAATTACACAATTTTATTACAATGTGCCAAAGCTAAAAATAAGTCTTTGAACTTTGAGTTACAAGAGAATAAAAGCAAGCCTGAAACCCGCAACATATAGATGATAACTCTATTATATAGAGTTATCTTGTCATATTTTGAGTGATAAAATGGCCAAGTCTTTGAATTTAGGTAAAATTGAAAGTAGTTTTCTTTATTTTTCTTTAATTAGTTAACTTATGATTGAGCTAGTTTATGTCGAGTTATTTTAGTTATTTTGTGTGGTAAAAATGCCTATTTTTAGCTATGGCTGATTTAGTTCTTATGTTTTCAAGGTCCTTAAAAGAGAAAGGGCCAAGTGGTAAGGAATTGAACAAGTTGGCTAGGTGCAGACTTCACTAAATATGTGGTGGTATTTCAGACATAACTCAAACTACAAGAGTCCAATTAACGTGATTTTTTGACCATTGGAAAGCTAAGAGGAAGCGCTATAACCTTCATGTGTATTACTTTGCCTAGCTCTGATTTGAGCATGGTCAAAATTGCATTGGAAATATCTTGACCGTAGCAGCACTACACTAGGTAGCCTAAAGGAAGAAAGCATGGAAAGAGCAAGCATAGCACTACTAATAGCGATGTAGCGCTATCCTTTCACCAAATAGAACCTCCAGCACTGCAGCACTAAGCTTTCAGCATTATGCAACACCATTTCTACAAGGCAGTAGCATCAGTGTTGCAGCTTTGTCCTCATCAACAGTCCCCCCTCACCAAGTAGTAAGCTTGGCGTAGTGCCACACTCTCAACACTGCAACACTGTCCGGTGAAGCAACACTGCCTTTGGTATTGAAGTCAGTGTTACAACGCCAGAAAGTTAGCACTACAGCGCTACCTTAAATGAAGAAGTGTGGACCCTTCAATCTTTCAAATTAGAAGGCCATGTAGAATGCTAAAAAAAAAAAAGCCTTTTTTTTAATTAGTGACTGCAACATCTTTTCTTCTTTCCCTTTTCTCTCATTTGCTGATATCATTTCCTTCATCTTCTTTTGCCTAATTTTTTTAGGGATTTTTTCTTCTTTCAAAGGTAATCAGTTCATTAATGAAAAGAACAAATTAGGGGGGTTTTTAGGAGATTTAGTTGTAGAAAATTAAAGGTTTTAATTTCTAGTGGGTTGTACCCACCATCATCTCAAGTTGAGAACTTCTGCAAATGGGAGAGTTGAGGCCACCTTTTCTGTTTACTTGGCTTCTATCCTTGAATACCTAACTAGTGAGGTTCTAAATTTAGCTAAAAATGCGAGCAAGATCTGAAAGTGAAGAGAATCACTCCAAGGCGTTTACAGCTATCTATTAGAGAGGATGACAAGCTTGACACCCTTATCAAAGGTTCCATTGTTGGAGGTGGTGTCATCCATCACTTTTATGATCTATTATATGACTTGGTTTTATTGTAAGTTTTGTTTAATTTGACTAGTAGATATGGTCAGTAGATATGTTGTAACTCTCTAGTCTTGTACCTTTGAATTTTGGATTTTCTTATAGTAGGAATGATGTCTGTTGGATAGTTTTAACTATGGTTTAGTCTGAATAGAACTTGACATAGGATTTTGCCCTGGATATAATGTTTTATTTCTATATAATGTTTCAAGCTTAAGTTCTTAGTTATATAAAAACATGTAGCTTGATTTGGGGTGTAATTAAGTATCAACTTATAAACTAGGTAAATAACTTTTTATCTACCTATAAGTTTGTCTCCAAAGACTATTGATGGATTAATTTTCTACTTTTTATTACTATCATTGTAATGAGATTTGATTTAGGTTTAATTTTCTTCTGCCCAATTTATTGAGGTTTATGATTAAAAGCTTACTATTGTTACAATTCAAGATTCAAGTCTTTAAAGTTGAGAGTCTTCACCGTTACGATAACAAAAAGTAAAAAAGCATCTTGTTTAATCCTCAGTTTAGAGTGAAAATCAACATTCAAAGTTTCAGGTATTAAATTGATTTTTACCTTAATAATATTTTTCTTTTAGTTGTTTAGAATCTACTTGGGTCTTAGTTACTTTGGTTTGCATTTTAATCATTTGTATTTTGCATTGGTTTCAAGCAATTCGATGGTGTTTATAATTGATTGCATCTAATTTAATGTCGGTTGTTTAAATTGGTTGGATAGTAATATTTTGATAGTGTTAAAAGACTAGAATCTCCTTATAATAAGTTGAAAATTTTGAATTTTTACCTTAAAGAGAAAGGATGCTTGAGTCTTTTTGCCAAGGGATTTGTTTGTTTATGCTTGATTATCGACATTTTTTATTTTATTTATATATAGACTATAGCAAGTGACCATTCTTGGATGTATGTTCAGCTAGATAATAATGGGTTTCTTCATAATTTCAGTTGTTATTGGTTTCAATTTTCACCAACAAAATTGGACATGGTTGATTGTTATTGTTTGGATTAAAGAAGAATGGGCAAAAAAAATCCATGTTAGATAGTAAAAATCACCTAACGATAAAGGATGGTAGCATTTCCAAACATGCTAGTGGATCAATACCGATTGTTCTTCAGGGGAAAAGAATGGTGTGTTTGTTGTGGTATGTTTTTTGGACTGTTTTTATCATATTTCAATTTATTAATGTTTTTGTTACTTAATGTAGGAAAAGGAGCTTGGGCATCTAGTTACTCAAGCAAAGGTGTTTGATTGCACTCATAAGCGATGTAATGGTGAATTTGTTGACAAAAAGTCAAAAACTGTTAGTGTGAGTGAATGTTAGCTATTAATATTATATATATATATAATTATCTTATTTTTTTTCTATTTTTACGTAAATTGCTTCACTTCAACTAAAATATAAGTTTTGCCTTTCGTTTTATTGGTGTACCTTTGCTATTTTTGGCTTTTGTAGATCTGTTTTATGGTGTTGTCCTGGGTTTTTTTGTGTGGATGTCACATGCATTATGTCCTCTAGCTTTTTAATATTTTGTTTATGATATATATAGGATGAGCTTGCTTTTCTATTTGTATGTGATGGGATGAGTTTGCTTTGACCTCTGTATAAAGATGCTGTTTTTGTTGAGATTATCGCAAGGAGTCATTTTTTTTGTATGTTTTTTGAGCTGGGTTGTCTTTGCTAATTGAAATTGTGATGAATTAGTTATAATTGTTTTATTTAAATTGTTACAGGAGAAATATGCTTCTGCCATACTACAAAAGTTTGGTGAGACTAGCACACAACTCAAATTTGATGCTAAGACATGGCATGAAATAGTCAGAGGTGTTGGCCATGGACAATTATATGGGTTTGGAAGGGAAGATCCGAGACACATACTTGAAACTTCCTATCCTTGGCAATCATTCCAAACTATACCATCTTCTGAAGATGCTCCATTTCTCTAACTTGGAACTCAAGATATGCAAAAAGTTGTGAAACAAGTTTTAGAAGAATTGGATGGAGTTCTAAATACACGTCTTCAACATCCTTTGAGATGTATGGGCATTCAAATGCCATGTTTATTATCTTTTAGGGTTAATTCAATCGTTGATGGCAATGATGGGGAAAATCCAAGAGGTGATGATGATGAAAATGATGGGGTAATTCCTATGGATGATAATGACAATGTTCAAGATGTAGTAGATGATGCTACTAATAGAGAAAATGATGTTAGATATAGAGTAGGTTAATCCAAACTCAAATTGACTTTTTATAATTTTCTATAGATATATTTTGTTATCTAGTTGAACTCAACTAGATTCATTTAGGAATATATTTTGTTTTCTAGTTGAACTCAACTATACTCATTTAGGTATATATTTTGTTATCTAGATGATCTCAACTAGGCTCATTTAGGTATATATTTTATTATCTAGTTGATCTCAGCTAGGCTTCTTTTGGTATGTATTTTGTTATCTATAGCTGATCTCAACTAAGCTCACTTAGGTATATATTTTGTTATCTAGTTGATCTTAACTAGACTCGTTTAGGTTCTATAGATAGTTTTTGTTCATCTAGTTGAAGTCAACTTCACTTATGGTATATACTATTGAATATATTATGGTTGATTTCATCAAAATTATCCATGGTGATGGATTTATTATTATTAATGTTGTCATGTTATGAGATGGTGATATTATGATGTTGTGGTAGTTCTATTGTCACTAAAATTGATGATTGAATTGTAACAAGTATGGAATAAGGTATTGCACATTATTTACTATGATGGATGTAATTATTTGTGACAAATATTATTAATTGTGATAGGTTATTTTATTAATGACAGTTTATATTAAAAATTGGTGATAGATTGTTTTTTGCATTAGTGAAAAAAATTCTTAAAAATCAATGACAAATTTTTTTATTAGTGATGGAATCTAGTAATTCACAAACATAAGTTGTAATAGATTTAGTGACAATAATGTTTAAATAGTGACAAATTTGTGACAAAATGAGGGACAATTGTCTTATGTGATAGAAATTTGTGACAAAAAACAATGACATTATTCACACATTGTGACAAATACTAATGACGAAACTAGTAACAACATTATCACATTGTGACAAATACTACTAATGGAATTAGTGACAAAATAGATTTCATGACATAATGTTGTGACAAAATGAGTTATAGTATTTTACAATTGTGACAGAATATTGTGATGGATTTAGTGATTGTTTTTTTAAATTTGTGATGGAATGAAAAACGAGTAGCTCCCCGAATTGACACAAAATTGTGATAGAAATTACTTTAATTTGTGACAATAAATCTGTCACTAAATAATGACGGATTTGATAAAATTTGTGATAGAAGTATTAGTAAGGTGACTCACAGTGTGAGAAAATATCTGCCACAATTTCTATTACTGATTTATATTTGCGATGAATTTTGGACTTTTTGTGACGGTTTCTTCTGTCACAGAAACTAATTTTTTTGGTAGTGTTTGATTTTATCGAAAAAGTTAGATTATTGCAAAATGTAGTAAGGTGCCTATATATGTCACGAATACTACATCAATAAAAGATAGGATAGGTTTTACATATAAAAACATGGGTCTTTAACCACCTATTAAACATATCTTTTGGATTGAGAACATGGGCACATAATTTATAAACTTACTTAAACTTTATTTTCAGAACTTAAAGTTGTACAAGGTTGGGCTTACGTTCAGCCCGTGACATTTGGTATCAAAGCAAATTTGGATCTTCACTAATGTCAAGTCCCTATGAGAGATACAAGAGTCAAGCTAGATCCGGATTAGTGTAAGAGTCCTCCTTTGCAAGTAAGAAGATTAGGCTTAAGTTTCAACTCATAACATTTAGTATCAGGGTAAACTTAAGTCTTCACTAATGTGAGTTCCCCCTGAGAGATACAAAAGTCGAGATAGACTCGGACTAGTGTAAGAGTCCCCCTCCTCTATGAGTAAAAAGCCAGTGCAATGAGTGCATTGCACAATTAGGTAGGGTAGAATATTACGGACCCCACATCAATAAAAGATGGGATGGGTGTTGAGTATATAAACATGTGTCTTTCACCATCTATTAAGCATCTCTTTTAGGTTGGCAACGTGGATCCTTAATTTAAAAGCTTACTTAACCTTTATTTTCAAAATTTAAGGCTGCACGAGGTTGGGTTTATGTTCCAGCTCGTGACATATATTTAAGAGTATTGAGTTGCAATAATCTCAATTCAAAGTTTTGGCTTGTTTTGCCTTTTATGCTAAATTTTTTTCAAAAACTTTTACACATCTTTCAACATTGTAAGGATAACTTTATCTTCATAGGTGACATAATCTTATTTTGTTTAAATTTTTTTAATTTTTTTAAAAATATAAATATAAATATAAAGTTTAACAAAATAAAAAATAATATATAACTTTGATAAAAATATAAATATAAATATAAAGTTTAACAAAATTAAAAAATAACATATAACTTGGATAAAAATATAAATTTAATTCAATTAAAAATTTTAAAATTAAAAAATAACTTTTAATTTAAAAAATTAAAAAAATTAAAAATTTTGATTTAATTTAATATTTAAAATGTTTTGAAAAAATTTTAAGAAAATTATTTTTAATTTTTAAAAATTTAAAAAAATTTAAGTTTAAGGGTATTTTTAAAAAAATTTCATATTACCATGGTTATTTCCAAAAATATTACCATTGAATTAAACACTATAATCAAATACGTTCAGTAATATATTGACTAAACAAAGGAATAATGAATTGTCTCCAAATGCATAGACATATATGAAACCGTGCTCTAAAGTCCTATTATCATGATAATATTTTAAAATCTTGAGCCAAATGGTCTAAAATAATTTCTTTCTTAAGTGTATCATCCCTGATTGCCAATCATTCACATTACTAAGTGTTCGGTTTTTTTTTTCAATAGAAATAATTAAAGTCGAATGCATGATAAAACAATTCATCTCCATGATGAATTGTTAGAGCCACATTGTGAAAAATTATTGAATTAACAAGATGAGGCAACAAAGAAGTGGAGTTGGAATGCCCAGACCATTAACGGTACAACCTGATGATTGTGATTCGATCAAGGATTCTTTCAATTATGGGAAAAGTAGTTTTTTCTCACTTTACATTAGAACCCTTTGCCCGATCTAGAACAATATGGCAATAGCTCAGTAAAATTTCTAAAAGATCTATTTATGCCTTTGTTAGGCTTTGCCATGTTGATGAAATGAAGAGAGCTATAGATTTAGGTAATGAAAAGGTCCTAGAAAGTCGGCCAATCATTGTTAACAAAGCCATCTCTATTAAGGTTGAAAAGAAACAAAAAATCAATAGACCAAGTAAACTAGTGAAATTCAAAATGAGCTATAAAGAAGTCCTTTATGATGTTAACGCCACCAAATGTGTCTAGTTGTAGCTCCCTAACAAGTCAATGGATATAAACCTGTTGGAATGAGCTTTGTAGCCAATCGAATTGGTTAAGGCTTAAATCAAATACTGCATTCATATCATTCATATCGAATGATTAGAAGTTTTCATTTATCAATATGATTATGCTTATAAGTCTATTGGATGAAGTTTATGAGATTAACATGTCTTGCAAGGGAATTGTAAAGTGTTACAATTATAAGATGCCTATGCATTAAAACATAATCTCTAAATTATTTCTAGACAATGTATAATTGAGATCAGACATCAATGATGCTTAGAGACTAGTACATTTTATATTTCTTACTTTAGAAGTAAACGACCGATCTCATAGGTTGAAGTATAAAGATACTTGGAATAAGAATATAGGTACTTGTCCTTATGTGATAGTCATGCAAGTGATCTTTAGACTTGAGATACCAAGTTGTCTTATGTGTGGAGTGCTATGCTTTGACTTCATCTCTCAGAATCTTAACCAAGGATGTTTAAAAAAGATTAACATTGGGTATAGCAAGAAGCACATAAATGCAATTTTCCATGAGGACTCCGTTTAGTTTTTCAATCTAGTGTCAATGAAGCATATCCTCATGTGATAATTGTGCTAGTAATCCTAAAAATTGAGACACCAGGTTGTCTTATGTGTGGACGGTTATGCTTTGACTTCATTTCTTCGGATCTTAACCAAGTATGCCTTAAAAGGATTGACATTAGGTATAGCATGAAGCACATGAAGGTAAATGAGTGATACAGATAAGATTCATCACTCTGAGTGATTAAGTAGATGTATCTCGATTGTTCATGCCTTGAGTAAGCTTATGTGAAGACTCTAGCGAGAGCACAATGGATTTTAGGAGATGAGTTTCTTATAATCCATGATAGCTACTCAAGGTTATGATTGAAATGGAAGCTTTAAGAGTTGACACTACATCATGCTTTTAAGCTTTCTGAGATACATGATGAAAGAATTGAATTGCACTAAGAGATTGATCACTAAAAGGTTAAGTTAAACCATCTTGACTCTTCTAACATTTGGGTGGCTATGATGGATTGCTAAATCCTGTTTATGGTCTATGATAATAAAATGGTTGATGTGATCAATGATAAATTCAAAATAAGTTTGAATTTATCTAATCCTAAATTTAATTTATAGATTACATTTTAAGCTTATTACTAACATGTTGGAAACTTAATGAGTCACACATAAAAGGTGAATATTGAGATTAAATTGGGATAGATGATTAAGTTTGACTTAATCAAAACTAGAGGTTATGAACTTTTATTGAACTTAATTAAAAGGTTTTTTAAGTAAGTGTAAGGACTAATTAGCAATTACATGGAAATGTAATTAGGGCTAAACTTGGTCCATGGTATATATCCCTTGCTTAAGCTAGTCATCCAAGTAACTTAGCCCCCACTTAATACTAGTGAGTAATGTAACAACCCTTGTGAGTGTGTGACGAGAAAATCAGTTTTCCTCTTGTTTTTTAGGGTGAAATGAAAGGAATGGTGTTTTAAAACACATTCTTGCTAGCACATTGAAGGCTTGGCAATCCCATCCTCTTTTAAGGATTTCTCCATTCACTATGTGGACTTTCATTAAAGGCTGCACAAGAATTTCTTAGACAGCATTGGTTTGCAACAAACAAGCTTGGTGTGAAGTCTCTTTGAGAGGCTAATTTGGTGAAGTTTGTACAAGGAATCAAGCTTTCCTTTGTACCTAAGGTAATGACCAGATCACATGTGTGTTTTGTTGTACTACATATCTTCCAAAAACCATGAAAGTGACTTTGGGTGGAAAGGCCAATTTTAATTATTATTCCGCTGTATTTGTAATTTTGGTTTTATTTTTATTATTTGCATTGTGATGCAAGGTCGGGTTTTCCCATCAAAACACTGTGTAGTCGAAACAATTGGTTGAACTGCATATCGATATACCCCGACAAGGACATTTAATGGGTTCAAAAGAGCACCATAGCCACAATGTGGGAATCTTTTCCCCTTAAACTCATTCAATCTAGGCTTTTCCAAGAAGGTTTACTAGTGTCCATTTAGTCTCTTAGTGTGCTCAAAGTT